TATTGGGAGTGAGGGGGGGCTGGGGCTAGGCGGAGCCCCCCTATGGTCCCCTCCCCCCCTCCAGTTCCTCCACCCGCTACTTACTTAGCACAGAGCCTGGATCCAGGTCCCTGCAGCCTGCACAGGCAGGCACAGTGCTTCAGCACCGGGGCAAGGGCCAGCCATAGAGATGCTCTGGCTACCAGAGCATCTCTGTGAAGGACCGAAGCTCTGGTTGCCTCAGGGCATGGTCTGGGACTATGCCCTGCCCCACTTTTCCCGCCCCCCCCAGAGTATTTTTAGATACTTGGATCTCCAGGTATTGGATTTTGAGCCCATGCTGCAAATTTGTACCATGGGGAACATTTTTTTGTTTCCAGTGTGCATCTTGCAGAGTCTCAAAGAGTTTGAGACACTGCAAGAGGCATGTGCACACTCACATGGATGTGCTCTAAGAGTGCAAGAAAAGCACTTAGGATGTCTATACACATGCTCTGATACGTTCTAGTTAGAATGCTCTAGCATTGCCGCAGTCACATGTATAAGCCCCTGTGGGTTTAAAAATAGCCTCTGGGGCACTTTAACTAAAGCTCATCAAATGAGCTGACAAAGCACACTGACAAAACATGGAAGCTTAGAAGTTGAGACTAAATATGTCTGGCAGTTTATATGATTTTTGAGATAAGAGCTAAAATATATGTGAGCTTTGGAGGTAAAAGAGGCCTAGACAGCTGAAGTTTACAAAGAACAAGTATAGGCTGAGAAGTTCTTGTTTGGACTGTGTTTTAAATAATTTTTTGCATTAGATACTACAATTTTTTGGTTTGGTTCTTATTTTATAGTTCTTTCAAGGTGCAAAGAGTACACAGATGTAAATATCCAAGAAGTACCCACATTAAGATAAGCTAAATAAAAATAGGAACTCAAGATGGGCTCTCCAAAAGTTATTCAGTCCTGCTTTTAAAAAACATTTGTCCCTGACATAGAAAAGTTATTGTTAAATATATCAGTGATATCAATTAACCCTATTCAAATTTGTTTCATGATATACAGCAAAAGATAGCACAAACAAAATTTAATACATGACCATTCAATAAAAAAGGTTTTGGTGGAGATTATTTAAATAATTTTAAATTTTGTTCAAATTATTATTAGGTTTTTAACTAGTAATGGGACAGAAGTGAAGAGGGGTGGATAGGGTTTAAAGAAGCTGATCTGTTAATGTCAAGTTGTTAATAGAACAGAAAATATAAATTCAATTTTGCAAGTAGCACCTGAGCCATAGTAACACTTAATTGCTCAAAGTTACAGTACTTGAGAAGAAAGTTAATAACAGGACCTCAGGATAGGTGTATAAGATCAGTGTTACTTAAATAAATTTAAATATTCAAGTCCTGAAATAAGAGTTTAAACAAGTATTGATTTTTTTTCTACAACCCTCCATCCCGCCCCTTTCCCTTAACCCAGAATCTTTCCTCCCACAGAACCAGATAGGAAAGAGAACCTCTCAGGACAGAAACAGAAACACTCCCACCACAGTTAATCTGCTTTATTGGGAAAGTATTCACCATACTCATGGAGTCCCCATATCTCTTGCTGCCTCACGCCTCCTTGCTAGGACCTCCTTTAGGTCCTGCACCAACCCATGCCTCACATGAAGGCAAAAGTCCCAGCACGGGTCCCGCCAAGGTGGCACAGAAGCCAGGGAACCCCCAGCATCCCATACCTCCACACAAGAATGTGCACTAATCCATGTCTCTGCTAGGGAATTCCTGGCTCCCCTTTCCTCCATGCTGGGGCCCAGGCTGGGTCCTGTGCTGACTCAGAGGCATGGGTCAGCGCTGATGCTGACACAGAGGCACAGGGCAGTGTCCATGGCTCCTTGTTAGTACATGTGGGCCTCTGCTTCATGCAGATGCACAAGTCAGCACAGGTTGTGGAGTGGCTTGGCATGAGAGTTGGAGAATTCCCCCCACACCTCCTTGCTGGAACTAGTGCTGGCCCATGTTTCACAAAGAGGCATAGGTCAGTATAGGTCTCAGTGCAGAGGTATGGGGAACCAGGAATTCCCTGGCTCCTGAGCCACTCTACATTGGGACTTATGTTGGTCCATGTAGCGTGGTTCAGCATGGGTCCCAGTGTGAAGGCACAGAATCACGTAGGTCCCAGCGCAAAGGTGTGGGGCACCAGAGACTCCCCAGGTTCAATGCCTACATGCAGGGATCCATGTGGGTGTTCCCTGGTTTTAGAGATGTGCCCTTGAGATTCTGGGGTAGGTCTCCACAAGCAGGGAACTGTGAATTTCCCTGCACCTCTCTGTAAGCTGGGGAAGTTGAGCATGTGCTCCAGGAGATTAAGGGGCCCAATCCTACCCTCAAGTCCCCAGAACATTACTATACCTTTTTATCATCTTATCCACTACTGTCCTTAAAATAAATGTGAGATAAGTGCTAGCTTGCTGTTTCAGTAGGGGTTCCAGACAGTTGAATAATAGCTCAAATAAAAATTGTCTCATTTCTGATAATGAGAACTCAAGAACTGAAATAGTAGTGGGGTCACCCTACAGATTTGCTGTCAATGATGTCTATGTGCACATGTAACCTAGTAGTAAGAACAGCATAACTAAGAATCAGTCTATCAAGGAAAGATGCATAAGTTTCATCACAGAACTGACAGTATGTTAAATAAAGCACACATTCAGGAAGAACAGTCCTATATAATGTGAAAGGTCCACATCAGAGGGACTATTAGATTATAGTCTTCTTACAAGTCTGCTATATAAATCATTTTTTAAAAAACTATAACTGCAAGTGTTAATATTAAAACTATTAAAGTTTCTAACAGCTTCTCATCCATAAATCCCATTGCAATCAATAGAAGCATAATACCATGAAATTCCACACACAAAAAATAAAAGGCCACTTCTATTTTGGTACCTAAAAGCATATTTGAGAGCCTTACTTAAAAACCCTAGAGTTAAAAACTTCAGCCAGAATACTCATCCGCTATTATGAGCCATTTGCTGGTTATACTACAAGCTGAATATTCATTTTCATGCATATGTTAATTATTATACAGCTTTGAACTGTGTTTTGGCTATGGGAGGAAACATGCTCATATTTTTAAAAACAGAATCAGGCCTCAAGGCTGGAGCACATAGTCTGAATTCATGCCTACATTCTGATTTATCATTTAAAATGCAAATTTTATTTTACACAGACAAGTACAGAAATACTTATTTCTTGGTAAATGCCTAAAGGTTTACAAGATAGCTTATACAACAACAAATTTAAAAAAAAATCAAGAAAAATATTAACTTACAGTATGCGTGGGTCAGTGAACAAAAAGGATTCAGAGTTGTCTTCTGGCAGAGATTTGAATTTCTTCCCAGTAACTTTGCCAATTGATGTTTTGAGTTTCTTGGCTAGCTTTTTAGGAGTGTTTGTTACAGATGAAGACTCATCCATACAGCAACTATATACTTCAATCTTCAGCTGGAAGTCAGGTCCTGCTTCTGAAAAACAAGTTTTTCAGAACATCTGTAAACTAGCTGAGTGTATAGCAAAGGTATTCTCTTACTCAGATTTGTATCCAACAACATATCTTGATGACCAAGACAGAAAATTCCATTACTTTCCAAAATAAAAGTCATATGTAAGAACAAAATCAAAGACCAGAAAACACACATGATAAACATAAGAAATCCAAAGATGAAACTTGAGTGTGTTATGGAGATATACTGTTAAGGCATTCAAACCCGTGTGGACATTGGTATCAGAAGCAGACTGGCCAAGTTTGCTGATGACACCAAACCCTGGGGTAAAGCATCCACACCTGAAGACAGGAGAGTGATCCAGGCTGACCTTGACAGGCTCAGGAAATGGGCGGACGAGAACCTGATGGTGTTTAACACTGAAAAATGCAAGGTTCTCCACCTTTGGAAGAAAAACCTGCATCATTCTTATAGGCTCGGCAGTGCTACTCTGGCTAGCGCTACAGATGAAAGGGACTTGGGGGTCATAGTTTCATAGTTGGTAGGGTCGGAAGGGACCTAAGTAGATCATCAAGTCCGACCCCCTGCCATGGGCAGGAAAGAATGTTGGGGTCACATGACCCCAGCTAGGTGATTATCCAGCCTTTTGAAGACCCCCAGGGTAGGAGAGAGCACCACTTCCCTTGGAAGTTGGTTCCAGATCCTAGCTGCTCTAACTGTGAAGTCATGCCTCCTAATATCTAGCCTGAATCTACTCTCAGTCAACTTATGGCCATTATTCCTTGTTACTCCTGTTAGGGCTCGGAGGAACAGGGACTCTCCTATAACCTGGTGGTCCCCCTTGGCCAGTTTGTAGAAGGCCACCAGATCCCCTCTCGGTCTTCTCTTGTGGAGGCTGAACAGGTTCAGGCCCCATAGCCTTCCCTTGTAGGGTCTGCCTTGCTGCCCTCTGATCATGCGAGTGGCCCTCCTCTGGACCCTCTCGATGCTGCCCACATCCCTCCTGAAGTGCAGCGCCCAGAACTGGATGCAGTACTCCAACTGTGGCCTGACCAGTGTCGCATAGAGGGGAAGGATCACCTCCTTGGCCCTCCTCATGATGCATCTGTGGATGCATGACAAGATGCAGTTAGCCTTCCTGACCACGTCCCCACACTGGCGGCCCATGTTCATTTTGGAATCAATAATAATTTCAAGATCCTTTTCTGCCTCTGTGCTGATGAGAAGGGAGTTCCCCAGCCTATAGGTATGCTGCTGGTTCTTCCCAGGTGCAGTACCTTGCAGTTGTCTGTATTGAAACCCATCCAGTTCTCATCCACCCACCCCTGTAACCTGTCCAGATCTAGTTGTAGCCTGTCCCTTTCCTGCAGCGTGTCCACTTCTGCCCAGATCTTAGTATCATCCGCAAATTTGAACAAGGTGCTTTTCACCCCCTCGTCCAAGTTGCTGATGAAGATGTTGAACAGTGTAGGCCCGAGGACCGAGCCCTGGGGGACCCCACTGTCCAAATCTCTCCAGGTTGAAAAAAACCCATCCACCACCACTCTGGCTGTGGCCCTCCAGCCAATCTGTGACCCATCTGACTGTATAGGCATTGATGCCACAGTCGCCTAATTTCTTAATGAGTATGGGGTGAGAGACAGTGTCAAAGGCCTTCTTAAAGTCCAGAAAGACTACGTCCACCATGACACGTGTCCAAGGATTTTGTGACTTGGTTGTAAAAGGCCACCAGGTTGGTCTGACAGGACCTGCCTCGAATGAACCTCTAAGCATGATCACCCCTGCTGGTCCCTCGCAGATGTGCTCCTGGATAATTTTCTCAAACAGCTTCCCTAGGACTGAGGTAAGTCTAATGGGCCTGTAGTATCCTGGGTACTCCTTCCTCCCTTTTTAAAAAATGGGGACCACATTGGCCCTTTTCCAGTCCTCTGGCACCTCACCAGAGCACCATGAGTGCTCGTAAAGCTGTGCCAGGGGTCCCACAATGACCTCTGCTAATTCCCTCAGCACTCTGGGGTGGAGATCATCAGGACCTGCTGATTTGAACACGTCTAGTCCCACCAGAAGTTCTCTGACTAGGTTCTCAGTGACCTTGGGCCTGGCAGCACCTCCCCTGGGTCCATCGGGGATCCCAGTGGGGAGGATGCCCTGGTCCCTGCTCAAAAAAATGGAGGCAAAGAAATTGTTAAAGAGGTTAGTTTTGTCATCTGGTGTAATCACCAGATTTCCTAGCTTGTCCTGCAGAGGCCCTACGTTACCTGGTACCTTCTTTTTAACCCCTATGTATTTAAAAAAGGACTTCTTGTTATCCTTGATCCAGGTCGCTAGTCCCAGTTCCATCTCTGCCTTAGCCTTCCTAACAGCCCCTTTACAGTCTTGAGAAATGGAGGCATAGTCCTCCTTGGTGATGGCCCTCCCTTCTATTGGGTGTATGCCTCCTTTTTAGCTTTGAGATGTTCCTGGATGCTTTTGGTGAGCCACGGGGGCTTTTTGAGCACTCTTGCCCCCTTTGATCCACGTTGGGATTGTCGCCCTTTGAGCTTGGAGGATCGTCTCCTTAAGGAATGACCACTCTTCTTGGACTCCCAACTCCCCTCCCCTCCGGGACCTCAGTGCCTCCCCGACTAGTCTCCTTACCTCACTGAAATCTGCCCTCCTGAAGTCTAGGGCTGTTGCCTTGCTGCAGGCCTTTGACACTGCGCTGGATGGTGAATTCCAGTAGGCGATGATCACTATTGCCCAGATGGTCGAGAACCCGCAGTCCACTCACCAGGTCGTCTCCCGTGGCCAGGACCAGGTCCAACAAGGCATTTCCCCTGGTGAGACTGTGCACCTCCTGGGTTAGCTGGGGGTCCTGTAACTTGGCTAGGAACCTACATGAGCAGTCAGACCTGGCTGACTGCTCTTCCCAGCAGATGTCCGGATAGTTTAGGTCACCCATGATGACCATGTCCCTTGACTTAACTGCCTCCGTGAGCTGACCTGAGAATTCCTGGTCCAGCTCTTCTCCCTGGTTGGGATGGCCTGTAGTAAACCCCCACCGTTAAGTTCCTTTCCCCCCGACCCCCTTGTATTCGGACCCAGAGCACTTCAGTCTGCCCCTCCTCTGACCCAGTGCTGTTTGTTGAGGATGTGTATTGCTCTTTGATGTAGAGCGCCACACCCCCACCTTTCCTCCCTATTCTATCTCTCCTGTACAGCCTATAGCCCTTGATGTTTACGGCCCAGTCATGCGTAGGGTCCCACCAAGTTTCAGTGAGCCCCATTATGTCATGACTGACCACAAGATGAACATGAGTCTGCAATGTGATATTGCTGCTAGTAAAGCAAGCAAAATGCTTGCTTGCATCCACAGATGCTTCTCAAGTAAATCCCAGGACTCATCCTCCCATTGTACTTGGCCTTGGTGAAGCCACAGCTAGAATACTGCATCCAGTTTTGGGCTCCACAATTCAAAAAGGATGTGAAGAAGCTTGAGAGGGTGCAGAGGAGAACCATGTGCATGATCAGAGGTCAGGAAAGTAGACCTTATGAAGAGAGGTTGACAGCCCTGGGACTCTTCAGCCTGGAAAAGCACAGGCTCAGGGGTGATCTGGTTGCCACATATAAGTTCATCAGGGGTGCTTACCAGGATCTGGGGGAACATCTGTTCACCAGAGCGCCCCAAGGGATGACAAGGTCATATGGTCACAAACTCCTCCATGACCATTTCAGGCTGGACATAAGGAAGAACTTCTTTACTGTCCGAGTCCCCAAGATTTGGACTAGACTGCCACCGGAGGTGGTTCATAAATATGCCCTGTAGTGATGCTGTACAATAATTATACAATACATATATGGTGGTCATAGTCCCAAATTAATTTAAACGGTTTTAAAGACATTAGATCATGTTTTCCTCATTGTGCTACTACAGAAACACTGCCTCCTCAACTGCAAGCACCACTTGTCACTCATGGCATCCACAGCCCATACCTTACCCTGTGTCCCTTCCCACCAAGCACTCATTAATTGCTTCTGTCCTCAAGGTGAAACATCAAAACCTTAAGTGTGACCTCAGATTTCAGGTACAAATGCCACCACAGGTGCAGCAATAAAGAATAAGCACTTGATCTTTTTGAAGCATAAGTTTGTATGAAGGTTGTAAAGAATTAAATAAGTGCTACAGAAAAGGTTTTATGTGGATTTAATAGGTAGTTTGTTGCAGAACATGCATGTATTTGGGTTACATGGTTGGGTTAAAGCCCACAAAATGGTATGGACAAGTAGCAATTTCCCTGATATTGAGTCCACTGGCTTTAATGGCAAATACGCTTGATTAATCCAATGTCAAGTTTGGTTTTTTTTGTGAGAGGCACATTACAAATGTTCAGTTTTAAGTTTCCACTGCTGAAACTCTTGAGATTAGATTCTAGGGCAGTGGTGGGCACTTAGTTTGGCTGGAAGGACACTCAATCAGTTTTGGTGTCTTTGAGGGCCACACCTCTCTCTCTCCCTCCCCATGCCTCCCTCCCTCCCTCCCTCCCAGAGCTGTAGCAAGCTCCAATTTTTTTCTCTCCCTCTGTCCCCCTCTCCCTGAAACTACAGCATGCCCCATCCCCATCCCTCTTTCCTCCTCCCTTCCTCCCTGGAGCTATAGCACACCCTAATCCTCTCTTCCCACCCCCCACCCCCAGAGGTAACATGCCCTGATCCTCTCTCTCTCTCTCTCCGCCTACCCAGAGATGCAGCATGCCCTAATCCTCTCTCTCTCTCCTTCCCTTACCCTCTCCCCCACCCCCTCCTACTCAGAGCTATAGCACACCCCAATCCCAATCCCCATCTAGAACTTGCCAGCTTCATCCACAGCTTATACCACCAACCACCCAAAGCAGCAGAAGCAGCCCCAGGTAGGTACCACCATCAGCTGTAGACGTGCCACGCAGGTAGGGATTGCGGTACCCACCCAGGTCCACAGCTGATGCCACCGTATCAGCACGGAGCAAAAGCCATCCTGCCTATCTGACACTACATGGCAGCCAGAGCCTCTGGCTACCCCCAGGCCAGACCCCATGGTGGCGACTCGCCCACAGGCCGGATACAATCAGTTGGAGGGTTGGATCTGGCCTGAGGACCATATTTTGCCCAACCCTGTATCTAAGGCATAAAAAGAAAATACTCCAAATGCTAAAAAAGCAACACTATTATTGTTATTCATTAGAAAGTTTCATATAAAAAAATAGCACTGTGTGTGACAGCTATATAGAGTCTATGTTGATAGAAAGTGAATTGAATAATCACTAAAAATAAAAATAGGTATAGCAAAATAAATTCAGTGGTTTAAGACATCCTAGATTTTTACACATGAACAGTGATTCTGAATTAATTCTCCAACAACCTAGTGTTCTCCAGTCTAGCTTTATCTGTAGCAACAGCAGTTGAATGGATTGGAGAACTATTTCAAGTTGTTTGTCAACCATTGCTCAACTAAGAAGTTGGTTTGAAATGATAAAATCGTTTTATAAATAGGTCATATGCTTTATAAAGAAGACAAGTATTTTCATAAAATCTTGAGCCCTTGACAAATCAGCCAGATCTCTGACTTTGCTACAGGCCTTATCAGGGATCTGTATTATCTGTTCTCATGTCATTTAAGTGGTGGAATTCAATCTTTATTCTGTATATTTATTTGAACAGGTGGCAAAGATGTTTTTCAAGTCATTTTAGAAATTCCTTCCCCTTTTGGCTGCCCAGTTTACCAGCTCTTGAATTTGTTTTTACAAGAATCTTCCAGAAAAAATATAAGCCAAATTTTTAATATCTAAACAAGCAGGAAATGTGGATAAGTGCTTCTCAGGCCTTATTTATACATTATAAAGAGGCTGAAAAGGCCTACACCTACATTTTCCCCTCTTTTGCAGGTCACCTTTAACAGACAGTGAACAGCATTCTGTCCAGTTCCCTTAAGCCTGAGGGACGGAGGATCACAAAAAAATGTATCAAAAGGTAAAAATGAGGAAGATAATCTAGAGTGCCATGAGGCAGATGAGTTATGGGATCCTGATCTATTGATGGAATCAATGTTTATCATCTAACTGTTGTTCTGCAAATTACTTTCAGTGTTCATGCATTAAATCTGACTCCCTCTTCTTAACTGCCCTGTGTTTTAAATTACAAAATACTCCAAAATGACACAAAGGAAAAGACATATATGTCAAGTGATCTAGTTAAAAAAAGAGTCATTATATACTCAAGGAATCTGGGGAAAAAAGGACCCATTACTCACTGAAATCAACACAAGGACTTAGATTAAACTTAAGGGACATTAGATTGGATCCCATGTGCACATCCTACCAGGGCTTCTTTCATAACACAAACTAACATCTTCATCATTCAAAAACTGATATTCACAACATGGTTACATTTTCAAAACAGATATCAGTTACTGCTTTATCCTCAATAGCCACATCTGTATCAAAAACCTTAGCTCCCATTTGAATAAGCAAAAATTGCATAGCGCTGTGATCCTAGGAACAACCAGAGAAATGTTTAAGCAGAGATATTACATATCACAATGTGAAATGTTTCTGGCAAACAAAAGCTGAAATGAGTTTCACTGAAATTTCACTTGACTCTCTTAACATGGCATCATAAAATTCAAGTAGTCATAAATTATACATTCCAGAGTGTTACAGGAGGCAAACTACCAAAGCTGCTGCATCAATAGAGCAACATTTGCATAGGGAAAAATTAATTTCAACCTCTGCTCAAGTGTTCCTTTTAGTAACCATCTATGTTTGCTACTACTTTCAAAACCTTTGGTAAAAAAAAGTAATTCTGCTCACTAGCCTTGAATATTTAAAAGTAAAATATCTAATTACCAAAGGTTATATTGTATTATGAATACATTACATATAGGATTGGAGTATTTTGCCATGCTTAGCCCCTTTGACCTGCCCAAAAATCAAAGTGAAATCTATGCCAGGTGATAGCTAGAACAACTTTAGGGTTAATTTCCATGATAGAGCAAAGTGCATGTATTTCAAGACTCTCCAATAATCCACTTGGTACCAGACAAAACTTTCATTTTAATTTCTCTCTGCCAAGAGATCTCCCTGTAAAGTCTCTTTCAGATGCAGGCAAAAAATACGTTTAACATAAAAACAAAAAAATATGTTTAACAAGACATTTCTCTGCTATTAGTCCAATTAGTGGTGGCACTTTTCTATTTCTTCCTCTGGAGTTTGTATCTCTCATTCTAGTCCCTCCAACCTCCATCTACAGCAGTCAGAGTCTCATTCAATTCAATTACATCTATGCTTCTCCACAGGAATCCTTCCACAGTGACAACAGTTCCACTGAATACAACTAGTCATAAGCTCTCTCAAACTGCTACCACTATCAACTTCACGGTAAGGGTTACTATGCAGTAGTACAGTTAAAAACAAGATGATATATGCTTCTGAATGATTCCTGCAAAAGAATGACTGAAAACACAAGTCTAAGGTACACGCCCTGTATAACCTTTTGACAAACATTGCTTGCATATATTTGAAAAGAAAAAAACAGCTAAATTCTTACATACTTTCTTTATTGTTGAAGTGATCAGAGTCTTTCCACATTAATGGTACTTGGATATCTACAAAGAAAAGAAAAAAACTAAGTTACAAGAGACACTGTAGATGTGTGGTCCAACTAATATAGATTATTTCTGGTCTGTTTTCCTGTTCATCTGTTTCTGGAGCAAAATTGAACCTACCATTCTGTCCAATAAAATAACATAACTAATGCAATCACTAGAGTTAAGCCAAAGGAAACTTCCTAGTTTACCTAGTCCAATATAAAGGGTCACTTTCTTTTAGAATGCTCTTTATTCCAGGATAGTTTATCATTTTATATAGGAGTATCTGGAATAATATTTCAGAATGGCTGCTGTAACATGAAACTGTGTGATAGTGAAGTCTATTATAAAGAAAAGACTTAAGTAAAAGCTTTGTGGGTTTGCACTGGGAGCTTCTTGGCTTGCTGCCAGAAAGAAACCCCCATATTTTGAGAGAGAGAGAGCAAGGGAGCACACATTAGAGATCTTTGCATGACAAATACTTATTCTTGTTTTGTCAGACACTTAGCAAATACCATTTGTAATCATATACCAAGGTTATCACCTCAGCAGGCATAAAGATTACTTTCATAATTTTTTTGGTAAGGGGAAAGATTTATTTCAATATCATAACAGCACATTAAAGCAATTAAGCTTCCCTTAGTCTTTTAAGTCACTCATGATATTAACTACTAATGGAGCTGGTATTTCTTTAAACAAACATCTTAGTTTATCTACACAATCAGTACAATATTCAATTACACATCTTCAACTTTGACACCGCAGGCTTTAGCGCTATTACTTACAGCTTATTCTTCAAAGGTCATATGACAATAACTTTATAATTTTAAGAAAGTTGGATTCTAAAGTACAATCAACAGCTTTCTGAAAAGCCTGCAATATATTAAGTGGCATAGGATGGCAGCAGTGAACAGCACACAGTAAAAATCTTCAAACTTAGTTTTTCATACAGGAACTTTTCTAGCTGTGAAGCTGGTCTCCACATATGGAATACAGAAAAAAAGGCATAGATAATTTGCTTAGAGGCAATTAATACTGATAGTTCTGCAACAAATCCCATTAGTCATGTATTCCCAGAAGGATTTTTCATCCAAGGCTGCACATTTGGGGGGTTATATTTGAACAACTGTATAAAATAGTCACTCCTGTTTCAGGACCTGTATCACATTCAACAAAGTCTGTGTTTAGAAAAGGTTAAGGTATAGTTCTACTATGAAAAGTAGCACTGTATTAAGCTATTTCAAACACAGAGCTTCCTAGCTCATTCATTTTAATTATAGACATGAGACCTCTGAATTTTTTACAGTGGGTGACCAATACCTTGGGCAATATATCACCATTTTAGATGGCTGCAGCTTCCTAAAATCAATACCAAATACTTCAATCCAATCCAATTTCAGAAACTGCCTTTTATTTTGAGTTTCATTTATTCATTTACTCTAGTCGTAGCTACATCTACAAATAGCTGAAAGTTTTTAAAATAGAGAAAGTATTTTTGTCCACGGTTAACCCAAACAGCTATAAAATCTCTCAGACTTAGAAATATTCACCTATGATCAAAGACCAAGAACAGAATAGTTAAGCCCTAAAAGTTCTCAATGGTATAAATGTGAAAATAAGAAGTTTTAATAGGAATCTTTTCACAGTTTTGTACATAGCAAGTTGTGAATGACAGCTAACAATTACAAGTGTTAGATTAAAGGTTTCTTTTGTTTGCTTCTTTTGAAATCAGGCAAAATGAAAAATTTTCAACTTCATCTGAAAGAGTCATCGGGATATAAATACTTAATTACTTGAACAATTTTAATATAATACTAGTAAATCAGTTTCAGTCCATCCTTCAGCTAGAATTTATCAAAAATGTAGATCAATTTTCACATATCTTAATTTCAGTTACAATTAGCTGTAAATCCATGTGGACTTAAATTGGATATTTAAATTGGATACATTCATGTACTATAATCAATCAATTTTAAATCCAATGATTCCTTTTGACATTTTATTTATTAGAACTTTATAAAACAGAAAACTTTAAATTACAGTTATGCTTATTGATCAACATTTAATTTATTGTCTCCTTTCAGAGTAAGAGGTAAAATGCATAAATTATGTAATGTTTTCACACAAGTGGGGGTTCAATGTGTGAAAATTAGAGCAAGAAAATTTATGGATAAGGAATGTACTTCCCAACTCCACGCTTGAAATAATGCTGCCAGACTAATGAGTGCACAGCATGAGTACCCTAGCAGCCAGACAAAATCATTAAAGAATTCCATTAATACTAGGTGATGGAAAAACAGCAGATGTCACACTTTCATCACAAAAAGTCAGTCGTGTCAGACCTCCCCACACCCTTAACTAACTTTTAAATGATCCCTGCTATAAGAAAAACCTTGCTTTCTGTTTTTATTGATCCTTTAACAATGTCTTAAAAAACACTGTTGATTCGTAAAAGATCTGCACTGTTACCATCATCAGCCATACAGTAAAAGGGAACTCGAGTTGTAATATTAAGTTGATGCAGATGGCCCAACTGGTACAAAAACTTGCTTAACAAAAACCTAGAATGAAGGAGTTTAAAAATGTTTTAGGTGCATGAACTTCTGGTTTCAGAAAGACTCATACATATTTACAGCACTTGGAATTACATTACATTTGGAATCTAATGTTTGCATTTCCTTAGAGTTTCCTTTATTGTGCTCAAACTATCTGAAAAAAATTAAAAAGCATCATTTGGTTGTAGACAAATGAAGGCAAAACCTTGTGCTATGACAACCCAATGTTATAGAAATGAGAATTACCAATGTCATACGATCCTACAGATTTTACTAGGAATGGATGTGGAAAATGAAGATGTAACTGTGGCATAAAATGGAAGACCTACGCCTGTTTAATCTAATACGAATAACAGTAGCAGCAAAACTGTGATAACTTGGATTGCTAATCTCTGCTGAAACCAATAACCAGGCTGTTGAGGTTCCCAGATAAACTAAAATCTGTGCTAATGCAACGTCACCACCATTGTTATCTGTGCTAGCTATGATTCAATTTTGTGCATCACATCCCCTTTTTTAAGTCCTTCATTTTTTATATTCCTTCATTTATATTTCCCCTTCTCTCCTTTTTCCCCCATTCCTTCCTCTTACAAATGCTCTTGAAATTTGTCGCAGTCTCCCAGGAGTATGTGTTCCTGTGGCCGACTGGTGTCACCTTAGTCAGGGGGGGCACGTGACTAGTCAGTCACTGGGGGGGGATCCCCCCCGCAGCCAATCTCATCGACAGGGGGGTCTCCCACAGCTGAATGCAAAGCAGCTGTAGTGCTCCCACTCCCCAGCTGGCACTTGTGGCGGGGGGGCACCAGCGCTCCCGCGTGCCCCCGCGCCCGTCACCTAACCAGCAAACGCGGCCTGTCAGTGGGTGCACTGGTGCTCTCAGGGGGTGCACATGCACCCCCCCATGCACAACCACTGTGTGTTCTCCACTTTCAGATCACCCATCCCTTTTCTAGACACTGCTCCCCACCCACCTGTGGCCCCATCCCATCCACCCAGCTAAGAGCACCCTGCCTGTGGGGGGCCACTTGGGGAGTTTTGGTGCACTGTTGCAGGGCGTGTGAGGAGAGACAAGAGGGTGTTGTCCCAGTGCGGTGGAGGCAGGGGGGTGGCTCACCTGGCACACAATAGCACACTAAAATTCTCTAGCTTGCCCTCCAGCCCAAATAATTGCCCAAACGCTGACCAAGACGTATGGGGCTAGAGTGGGCATTATCAACCAATTACATCTTCTGGATCCTATACAACAGTGGGACCAAAACATTTTGACAAGCATGCCACAAATTCACCCCTCCTCTCCCCGCAGAGCCAGTTTGATCCCACTCTCTTACATCATCTGTTCCTCTGCTTTCTGCATCCTACCCAATCAGCTCTTTTCCTTTCTGCTCCCCACCCTATCTTCCCTGCCTGATCAGCTGCTCTGCTTTCTGCTCCACACGCTGTGCTCCCTGCCCAATTGCCGCTCTGCTTTCTGCTTATGGCACAAGTTGGCCACCTCTGCTGTAGAAGATGGGTCATAAGGGGTCAAGAGCAAGAGTAAAACATAAATATATAAGTAACATAAATCCTATGAAGTTTCAAAGTAACTTAGGCATTTTAAAAAGTATTCCAAATATTTAAAAAATTTGCCTTTTAACATGTAGAGTATTTAATAAGATATATATGAAATTATTTCCTAATAGGAAAGACCTTCAAAGCAATATCAAGATAGTGGGCAGAACTGTCAAATGTAGCTAAAATGACACTGGAGCACACTGCTATTGAAAGTCAATCAGATTTATGTCTCTAAGTTACCTAGGTACTTTCAGACACCTGGCCCAATTTGGTAAGGTCAGAGATGCTATACTGATATGATACATGCTGTAAAGCCAGAAAGGTTTTAAGTCAATTTATTCGGCTTTTTCTTTATTTTCATAATATAATATAAAGATTATACCATTGTGTACCTGATATGGCAACCCTTCCTTTGCACACTGCATGCTATTTATGGTGAACAACTGAATTCCTGCTCAAAAAGAAAAACAACACAGAAATGTTAGGGAAAATGTATCTTTATTTCTAAAAAACAACCCTTTGAAAATCAGTAGGTTTTTTTCAAAAATAGGTTTAATATATGTTCAATTCAAATGCCTTCCTTTAAAGATAACTTTGGCTACCATTGGATTTAGAGGTCCTCAGATAAAGTAGTTAGATTCTACATATTCTTGAAGGAAGATCCATTAACTTAGATAAGTTTTCAAGGTAATATTTTTGAAAGTATAGATTCTCTCTCTGCTGCATTTAACAACTCCAGAAAAATCAAGCATACACACAGGGGGAGCCACTACAATTAACTTTCGCACTTCTGTTATTAGACATAAGGGATGACTATTGCTTCTTCAACTAATAGAAGTCATTATGTTAAATTTTCAATATTTCAATTTATTTATGTAAACTGAGATCTTGTGAGAATTCCAGACCAATAAAGTGAAAGAAAATTAAATGAATACAACCTCTAGAGAGAACAAACAGTAGCATGTTCCATATCCACATGCAATTTCTCCTATCACTTGTCCAAATTAAAATTGAATTAGAATTTCTAGCTAAGTGCAAAAGTGCTAATTTTAAAAATTAGCATTTATGATGATGGTAGATCTAAGCGTAAATAAAATTATCTCCTTAACTAGCTTACCCCCCAATAAAAAACAACAACATTTCTATATGTGGAGTGTTAACAGAAGTTTGTTGCTATAGATACAATTCATTAGAGCTAAGCACATATTTGTAGAGTTTCTGCACCAAGCTGATATAGAATACTTCATTAAAACAATAATCTGAGAGAAATAGTAACTCTGTACCACTCTTCTCAATACTGCATACAAGTTCTATTCCACTCTGCAGAGAAACATTATGCAAATAAGCTTTTTATGCTTTAGCTCCCTCAGGAGTTAAAATTGGAGGATGGTTTCAACAAAGCTGATTTTTCTTCACGTTAATGGAGTTGTATACTTTGATTACATGGATGTAGTTGAGTACATTGGCCAGCAGAGGGTACCAATTAACCACTGTGCTTCTACTATTAAAGTAAATTTAGAGGAAAAGACTGAAAGCAAAAAAATAAGGGCATCCTTACTTGTGAGGAATATTCTTACAAGGTTTTCCATGCGTTGTTCATCCAGATACACTCTGACAACTCTGGACATATTCACTGTAATCAACAAAACATTCCCATGGGGGCTACGTGCTAAATGCTAATACATAAATCCATAATACCATCCAGTTGAAAACCAAATTATCTGAATTTTCAATTCTGACAGAATAAAAGATAGTTTTAAACGAAATTATAAAGTGAAGATTTGGACTGGAACATTAATGCAGTGATAAAGTTTTGGGATTTTATTTGGATCTAATTATCTGAGGATAAATTGTAATGTAACAGTACCAATTTACCTTTTTGAAAACCCCCCCCCAAAACTCCCAAAAATAAAACCCCAAACATACAATCTGTCAAGGTATGCACAGCTATACCTCAGAATACTGTTATTCTGTTGTTATTTGTTACTACTGTTATATTTGTCCAATCCTATAACGGTTAAGCAGACCTAACCATAATGACATTAAACGTGAACAAAACAGATTTATAATTACAGTGGTTTAGTTCTGCTGATACCAATACAGAAGCCGACATACATAAGTTATATTCTAAAAAAAGAGATACAAGCTCCTGAGCAGCAAGAATCCCCACCACAGACCTTTTTGAATGGATGAATACCAAGAGTCTCAGTTTGCAATAGAAAACTCCCGACTTCTACTAACCATCCTTCATTTGCACGTGTGATTGGCTCTTTTTGTTTCTGGAGCTCTGTCCTTGTAGATAAGTATACGATCATTGCAAACCATCAGGTTTTTAACTGCTTGCAAAATTTGATTTTTTTGAGTGCTTACTGTAAGCAGTTTACAAATTCCTTCTCGCATGTGGATTTCAAAGTTGATCTTTTCTTGAATGCTGCATTCCTAGGTGTCAAGATACATACAATATTGTTTTTTTTAAAAAAAAGGTACCAAACATAAAACTGATTAACAGCACAGAAATGTTATTAAGTATTTTTAGCAGGCACTGTTTACCACATCATAGGAAGTGTTTGGTACCCCAAGTCCTGTGTTGGGTTGTTTGGTCTACTGAAATATTTAAAATTAGTATCTTTCATATACAATGCAGAATATAGAAAAGTACAAAGATATAGAGAATCAGATGCTGAGCCAAAATAAGCTATTGACAGTGACTTACCGAATCACCGGAAGGGCATGAAACATGTATGTGCTCAGTCACCACTTTTAGAAAATGATAGGGGTGAGATTTTAGGGGCCGATACCAATCCAATTTCCGATACACAGTCCTTCAGCTTGAAGAGCTACGTCCAGCTGGTCTGTTGTGGTAGAAGGGAAGTGGGGGTGTGGGGGGCAGATCAATGCCCCTGTGGTGAGGGAAGGGCGGGGCTGACGCTGGGCCAGGCACTGCCCAACTGGGGCGTGGGGCACCGGATAGAGCTATGGCTCATTTGCAGGGTGGAAGGAGCTTCTGTGAATCTACGGAAACATCGCACACGCAAAAGGGTGAAAAAGATTTGAAAACAAACACATTTCAGTTTTCCTTCTTTGGTCATCTTACAAAAAGAGGTATAAAAATCAGTTAACTCAACTTTTGCTCTATATTCTTATACAATCAATTAACACCTGAAAATGAAAAATGTTTTAAAAAGTGCCATCTTTTTTATTTGTAATTGGATGCAAATTTAATGCTAGTTCAAGTGAACTGAAAGCCAAAGGTCAACTAGCAATTATAGTTTAAAGATCAACCATTAAAGGTAACAGAAGATTTTTCATCCAAAAGGATGAAATAAAATGTTCCTTTACCTATGTTCACTGAAATGCAACAGCCAATAATGTTGCCTTGGGAGTCCAGAAATATAGGGCATACTTTCTTATATGTATATATCAGAAAATTTAAATATCAATTCATGTAAGTATGGAGAATGTCAATTCATATAAATATGGAGAATGATTATTAAGAGAAGGTAACTCTTACTAGGGTGTAGGCTAAGACACGGCCAGAGGGACCTGCTATTGCAATACCAATATTACCAAGTGGGCTACTAGGGCCAGCAGTTAGCAGCTGACAGCAGTGAACATAACCAAGCTGCTTCTTTCTTTATTACCACCACTACAGACCCTTATTTTTCCCTTCCCTTTGGGTTATTAGTTGCATAACTTTACATTGCCAGAGAGCAGGTGACTCAGCTGTAAATCAGGTTTGAGTGGTATGGCTTGACTATAGCCCAATGTGGGGCCATGAGTACTTCTGGATTTCGAAACAGAGACAAATCTATGTTGCAGAAACATTGCCTGGCTGAACGGTTACATGAAACATCTTGGAGGTAAGGGCAGGAGCCTGGTCCTGGACATGACCTAAAACTGCACACTGCCAGGAGTGGGTGGCCTGGTGGGGCTCCCAGTGGTGTGGGAGCCCCCAGGAAATACCAAGTCAGTTATCACCCTAGTGAAAGGTGGGTTGGGGTGCCTTAACCTCTAGCCCCCACAACACTGGGTACAAGGGGACTTGTACTATGGCCACCTGAGCCTAAAGAGGGTGTAAGACCCAGGTGGGGCCAGGCCTGGCTACAGCCACCTGAGGCCCCACTGGGGAAGGAAGCACCATGGCCCCAGTGAGAGGGGGTGGAAATGTGGAGTCCCAGTGAGGGGAAAACCAGAGGGCTGGGAGCCCAATGTGAGTGTGTACAGAGTTGCCATGGGAGGAGCCAGGGCAAGCTTGGCCCCGGTTAGGTAATCAGCTGGCCACTACCCTGGTGACGGCCATGGGAGAGGCCCAAAAAATGGTACGTCTGCCACCCAAGGTGTGTGCTAGGTAAAACCTATGGCTGAAGGGGCCCGCTCCGAGAGGGAGCAAGGCAGTGCAAATTGTTGATGCGTGAAGGAGACCTTATGAGAGGGGGGGCCCCTGAGAGGCCCTAGTAAGAAGAGGGCGGTATGAATGTGTGCGTGTCTCAGGCCTGACAGCAAGGGCAATTTCATTTGCCTGCCACTAGCAAGAATTCAGTAAAGACAGACGAGGACAGGCTGTCCCATTCTCTGTTTGTTTGTTCTTTGCACCAGTGCTGCTCAAACTTTCTGTCTCACAGGTCAAATGGCAGTCCCCAATCTGTCTACTGGCCAGATCCTGCCCAAGGATCCACTCCAAATATGGAGTACAGCTGACCCCAATTTGGCTGTACAAGGGTAGAAAGGGTGCATGGCCCAGCCCCAAACCAGCTGCCTGAGGCTTGGGAATTTGGCAGAAGGGGAAGTGGGGAAGTATTGATTGCCGCTGCTCTCTCACCACTGGATTTCCAGAGCCACAGGGAGCCCCACAGGACAAAATTTCTGTGGGCCAGATGTTGAGAACCCCCCTGCTCTACATCAGTGGCTCCCCCTCTATTTTAGACTCGAGGCACCCTCAGATAATATCAGCTCTTAATTTTCACTTGATTTTTTAACAATAGAAAAATAGAGCAACTCTTGTTGCAATGAACTCTGAGAGGCCCCAGTTTATCTTGCGAATCACATCTGCACACTTAACCCCGCTAAGAGGGCTAACCCCACGACACCCTTCAGCGGATCTCAAGCGCCCCAGGCTCTGCACCTTTCTCTTTTCTGCAACTCCCGTTTCCTCGCACAGCTCATGATCGCCGCTTGTTTGTGCTTATCCTGGCACAGGAGGCAGAAACAGGGAAATCCCAGCTCCTGGTCCCACCCCTACACACGCAGGTAGGAGGGTGCTGGCTGGGTACCCAGCTCTCATAGAAAACACCTTGCCCCTGCCCCTGTCCCGTCGTCGCCAGCGCTCCGGCCGCAGGAGCGAGGGAGGCAGCGGGCGGCTTGGCTCGGGCGAGGCGGGTCCCGGAACAGACCAACTGCAAACCGCCTCCAGCCGCAGCACCACCCCCCGACGCCTTCGGTTTCCGGGCAACCCCCCGTCCCCT